TTCTCTGTTTGAGGAATAATTTAATAAATAATAAAAAAAATATATATTATTAACTTCATGTAGTAGCAGACTTAACGTATTATTTATTATTCCTTATTCTCCATTCGATCGTACTGGCTAACTTTTTCTGGCCTTGTATTTGAATCCTTTTCGTGAAAGAGAGCATCATCGCAAGCCTTTATTAACAAACTCCTTATTGGACGATACCTTTCAGTACTGTCATAATAAGTTTCTGCTTTAAGCTTGAAAAATGTTATAAGAGCTTCTGCACATTCTATAATTGATTGTTTCCCGAGTATTATATCACAATAGTCTGATAAACTAATCCTCTGTGTAATATGTTTGATTTGAGGAATATTGTCAACAGAAGTTTTTAATTGAATAGCTTTTTCCCTAAGATTTTGTGGTAATAAGCTACATATGCCACTTCTGGTTCTAAGTAATCTAACAAACTCCCTTCTTTCTTTAGTTGGCTCAGTTTTGATAGGCTTTTTTGCTGACCTTAATACAGAATATTGAGAATAGGCTCTGTCATTGTAAACATCCCAGCGTCCAGTACTATATCCCGCTTCCTTACAAATTTGACGAAATTTTTGTCTAAACATCTTATAAAAAAGACTCCATTGGCCATGGAATCTTGCCATTAGATCAACAAAAATCCTCTCACAATCCCCTTCTCCACGATAAGTATTTAATAAATAAATCCCCTCGCAAATATGTTGTTGGGTCCATCCACTACCTGCTCTACTTCCAGAATATCCCTGATTACTAGAAGATCCATCTAATCCAATTCCTCCAAGTACACTAACTAAGTCCGATTGTATCATTCTATATATATTATTAACTTTTGTCATAATTTCAGGTTCTCTTGTGGCAATAATTTTACACCAATTAACATTTCCTCTCTCATTTTGATGAGCTTTTGGCAATCCTCTATACTTTGATCCAGAAAGTCGCCTAATTGTATTAAACTGATGTTCTGGTTTCATTGTAGGAATAGGAATTGAAAATATGAGCTCTTCTGAAGGATGTACGTACATTTCAAGTTCCTCTTCTCTAATTGAAGGTCCAGGTTCCCCAAATTTGAAATCTGGAGCTGAAGCTTTGGCTCCCGTATCTTTCCTGGAGTCTGAAATACCAGCTCCTATCAAATCTATTTTTTCAGCTGAAGTTGGTAAACTCTCACTTTTTCTAGCAGATGTAACTTTAGCTGCATCTATAATTGAATCTTTTTCATCTTGTTTTTCTTCAGAAGCATCTAAAAGTGGCTGAAATGGTTCCGTATGTTGTGCATCAGAACCAATCTTACGTATACTGTCAATTAACTTTGCTTGATCAAGATCTTGTTCATCTCCTAGTTCTTTTTCCAAACCACTATATATATTTTCATTACCTGTTGTAAGTATTACTTCCCTCGCAAATTTCACACAAAACAGAAGTAACCAAAATATTTTAATTTCCATATTCTAAATAAGTTTGTATTGACATTGTTCAAAATTGTCTATAGAAATTTATCGTACTCCCAACGTTTTTACCTTTTTAATCCTTTTTCAAAAAATTTTACCAGACCGTTATGGCGCGCAAGCTCATAAAGATCTAGAAATAGAGAAAATGCAATGATTTCAAATTAAATAAAAAAATTTACCAACTATTCAAATGCTAGAATATCTTAGAAATAATATTCAATTCTTTAAATAGATAGCTTTGCTATGTCATTGGCTCTATTGATCTTTTTTGTTTTGGGATAATTGTGTTTCTTAATTAACTAAGTACTATAAAACTTAACAAATAATAAATAAATATATATATTTATATTTAAAAAAAAAAAAATATTAACAAACAAATCATTTACGCCTTTCCTTGTGTTAATCTCTTATTATTGCATCAATCACTCTGAAATTTTGAAGGAACCTAATTTAACTTAACAATCTCGTTTCTTGGAGATACGAACTCTTCACACGTCGTAATCTTGCATCTTACAGTTTCTAACACAAATAATCGAATAAACTTAAGCTGTTTGTGCATATATAACAATAATTGTGAATAATTTGTGTTATATTAATAAAATAAAATTTTAGAGATAAGACATAGTAATTTATATTATTTAAAAAAAAAAAAGAAAGGAAGATAAGAAACCCATATAATTGTTAAGGTTTGAAAACTTTATTTATTTTCAAACTACCACTCAAAATAAAACTTAACATTAACCTCCAAAAATAATTCTAAATTCATTAAATTATTGAATCAATAATAATAAAAATTGCCATTAAACCTGTCTCCCATTTTTCCCGCCACCTGTTTGTAAAAAATGACATGACCAATTCGTCAAGTAAGTCTGGATAAACATTACTCTCATAACCTTAAATTACTTAAATAGTAGATTCCCTGTACAAAATCAACAGAAAGGGAATAAATTCAGATGAGATTTATACCATTCTCCATTATATGGCTATTCTACCTATTTTTTGGGCCATGTTTAGGTTTAAGAGCAAATACTACTCATAAGTTAGCAATAGATCAATTCCTTGGAGATCTAAGTTCTGAAAACCTTCAAATTTTAGAATATGACTTTATTTTTAGTAAATTAAAAGACATTAATGGAGATGTCAATGATTTACTAAAATCAATGTCTCAAAAAGAAAATTTGAAATATACTCTTCAAAAATATAAGACAAAGATTAAGAATATTGCAGAAGCTTTGTCTATTGAGATAAAAGACTCTTTAGATTCCCACTTAAATTTATTAGATAATTTGAATAATAAATTTCAGGAAATTAATATTGAAATTGTTAAAAAAGACTTTATATCAAAACAAGATAATATTTACCAACAGAATCTATTAAATTATTTGAACAAACAATCTTTTAATAAAAGTATCCAATTCCTTGAAAAATCTGATATAGATAATAAGGAGGAGTTGATCAATCAATTAAAAAATTTACTATATTCAAGACACGAGAGTCAAAATGGTATTTTGGATAAAATAATCATTTTACATAAACTTGCTATTGAAATTGAACTCACTAAAATTGTTTATTTATACTCTAAGAATCAAACAGAATCGCGTGAATTTGAAAGCAAACTACAGAAATTTGTGAAAATGTTGCATTTATTGGCAAATTTTGAGCTATTTCTAAATGGATGCTTTAATTCTCCTTATGAAATCTCCATTACCAAAATTATTAATTTAAGCCAAAATTATGAAACAACAAGTTCTACAGATACTAGATTTGTTATTTATCCAAATTTACTATTTGAACAAGAGATATGTGATCTTTCCATAATAAATCAAAATGAAAAGGACATTTTAAGTAAAAGTGAAAAAACTATTACACCTGTTACTAATCAACAAGAGTTTTGTACAAATTCTTATGAATCTAATGAAAATATATCATTCAACCAATCAGAGGTTTTGAATCAAGTAAAAGTCAGTAATGAAAGTTCTTTATTACTGAATGATAAAAATGATTCATTGTTTGACTTTAATTCCCTCAAAAGTGTTAAACAAAACGAAGTATTTAATCAAATTTACAATGATAATCAATTTAAAGTAGAAATCGATATAATTTCTCCCATTCTTAGTGTTGAATCAAATAAATCACCTAGAATTGGAGATTATATAATTAATAATGATTTTAATCAATATTCTGCAAACAAGTCTCACGATTCTATTAGGAATACTCGTGAGACATTTAAAATTAATGATGAAGAAGTAAAGTCACATATGAATAATATACGTATTAAACAAATGCATAAAAATACAATTATAGATAAAAGAAAAAATTACAAAGATTCAAAATTGGACTTAGCATCATTAAGAAAATGTTTTGAATATCAATATGTTTGTTTACTAGCCAGACATTTGGAAGATGACGAAATTTTGGAGCTAGACAGTTACTTATTTTCTTATGGAGTTAAATTACCTCTAGAAAAGGATTCTAATTTAATTTGGTCAATTTCAGAAAGCTTAGTTGATAATTTTGGTGCAAGAAAAAGGCTAATTGAACACGTCTCACAGAAAATTATTGATTTTACTTTGTCTATAGGCCGATTAAATACTGATCCTTTAATGAATACTGGAAATCAAAGGAATGATCAAATAGGGTTTTACAGGGAAAAACACATCGATATTCTTTCAATTTTAATTGCTTTAAGGGAATTCTTAAATTCTAAAAATTCAGAAGAAATTTCTACAGCCAGAATAAATTTTATTGATAAATTTGTACCTTTAATTAAACGTCATTCAAACAAAAAAATCAAATTTTCTAAAAATTCAGAAACAAACAAAAAAAAAAGTCAATTTGACTTATCAAGTTATCATGCCAGCAGTAGATTTATAAAACTAAGAGACTCATTCGATAATGATGGTGAATCAAAATATAATTCAGAAAATGGATTACTACCTACAAATATTAGTGAGACAATAAGTGAACCAAGTCTTTATGAGCTATGTACTAGATTTATCACAACTCTATCAATTACCAAGTCAGTTAAAAGTTTCAATGATAATTCCTATAAGTTTGCTCAAAAAGTTTGCTCAATGATTTTTGAACAACCTATTCATAATATCTTAAGTAGTCAAGATTATGCATGGCTTACTGGATTTACTTTGGTTAGAACAGTAAATTATTTAATCAAAAAACAAAATCTTCCTGAAGAAATTTTTATTGATCATGAAAATGCGCTTAGAGCTCTAAACTATTCATTCTCACAAAAAGTTTACAATTTTCATCAAGCATGTACACAATCTCTTATTTCTCAAAAAAGTACCGCTATTTATCGAAATAATATTTCATTACATTTAATTAAACCTTTGATGAAAATATCATGCGCAGAATATTTTGGAATTAGCGTATTTTTATATGAAAATTAGATAATTATATTCAATTATTATTTCGTTCTAATTATATCTAAAATAGAAATGTCGGTATTCCTTCTCTTTTCCCCTAATACTTCTTTGATTTTTAATATTCTTAATATATTGCGCCCGTTACCTAGATGGCTGGATGGCCGAGTGGACTAAGGCGCAGCATTCAGGTTGCTGTTTTCAGGGGTTCGAATCCCCTTTCAGTCACTTTTTCCTATAATAAAAAAAAAATTAAATTGGCACTGAGGATCAGTAAAAAACGGAATGAACAGAGATATGAATAATAATACTCAATTTATTTTGATAACAGATATCTAACATCTAGAGTCTATCAAAAGTAGAGTATAAACCAAGCAGACCATATGTCTGCAAACAGACAACTTTTAGAATTTCTTCATTATTCTGAAATTTATGGAAATTGTTTTCTCCAAGTAAAAGTCGTTTTACCTGGATAAAACATTGCTTTGGTCTGTCCAAAGGATTATTATTTCTATTTCTGACAATAACTTCATTAGTCTTTAATATTTTGTCGTTTTCTCCGAATGAAAAATGCTTTACAAGCAAGAAATTGAAGAAAACATTATCTCTGTAAAACATTTGTTTATTAGTATCATTAATTTCCTTCTGAATGACAATTTTTTGCACTTGTAAATCATCTTCTGAATAGAAGATGATCATAGTTACAATTTCCAATTTTAAATTGAAAATTGGACTAGTCAGTTTTGGATCTGATTTATTAATAATTAAATTTAACATAAATCTGGTAAAGTCTGATTTATAGTAGAGTCTCCTTTCTTGAATGTAATCAAATTTGGCAAAATATTGTTCAAAAACGTATTTCATTGAAGCAAAGTTAATGTAATTTCCAAAAAATGAATGTAATTTGGAAATTCCATTTTTACCATTGATTATTTCAACAACTTTCTCGAGATTATCCTCCAAAGTTGAATAAACAACCAAATATTCATAAATTGCCAAGTATAAAAGCTTTGTTTTTGTGGGAGTAAAATAACTCTTCAATTCTTTATTTTCTGTTTGAATGAACCTATATGTTAAAGTTTCTGAAATATTGTACAAGGAAATTCCAGAAATTTCATTTTTAATTTTTAAGTTAATTTGATTTTCACTTCGAGTTGACCTAAGGGACTTTGATCTTGAACGAGAACTGGTTATTTCTGAATCACTTACTTCCTTAAGACCACGCATCTCCACCTTTTTGTTGTTAATTTCCTTTTCTGTTTCTCTTAATGCTTCCTTGAGCTCAGAATTAGAAAGATTTCGTTCCTCTATAGAATCATAGCTTATAATAGACTCACTTTCATTTTTTAAGGCTTCCAATATTTCATCAAAAATTGAAGCTTTATCATTTATTTCAATTTTGAAGCTGATATTGTCATCTTTAGATTGAACAATTTCTGTGATATTAAATCCGTCCAATTTTGAAGAATTATTATTTTCAAATAATTCTTCAAAGTTATTCTGGATTTCAGCTTCTAATTCCTTAAATTTACTTTTCTTTTTTCCACAGCAAGATGATTTTTTTTCTTCAGTGTTATCCACTAATTTTTCTAATACTTCTAAATCTGTCCCATCAGGTTTTTGAAGAGGAATCTCACAGTTTTCTGAGGCTTTATTTGCATCTCCCTGATCAACATCAAATAAGAACTCTGATTCAGATTTTACTTCACTTCTTTGCATCAGTCTTCTGCTGGATGGCTGCTGCTGGAATTCGTAGCTTCCAGATTTTAATTCAATACAATTATCTTTTAAAAATGCTATATCATTGACTTTACTTTTTATGATATAATCAATAACTTCATTCTTACAAAAAAATAGCATCTTTTCTTTGTTACCCAATAAATCACCTACCAATTCTTCAATTTTCTCGTTTGCCATGATTACAATGAAGTTGAAAGTTGAGTTTTCGATAGGTAAAGGCTCGTGACCAGATTTTTCTGTTCCATTGGACACACGTTCTGTTAGTGAGACAGCTATCTTCTCATAATCATAGAAATCTTCGCCAGATATTAAACTTTTCTTGGAAATTACATTATTAATCTTATGTGCAGTAACATTTGTAAGTGATAAACTAGAAAGTACACTAAATAATAAACCCAAAATGAAAAATTTGAATACCTTAAATCTCATACCTAGAATATATTTACCGTTTAGAATAACAATTCATTAATTTATAATGATAGATATCTAAGACAACTTTGTGGGTATACCAGCAAATATTGGCGGGTAACGATTGTGTGTTATTTGCCAAATCTAATTCAAATCCAACAAAAGAGATAAAATAGTCAATAGACAAACAGAAAATTAATAATCTAAAGCCTATGATTAATGATAAGAGCAATAAAAAAATGTAGAATTCCAAATACTTCAGCGAAAAATTTAAGGAAAGAAACTTTCAAATGCCCATATTCTTGACAATGTGGAACAAATTAATCAAATCACAAATTCTAAGAAAAAAGTTACCAAAGAAGAATTGGTTTGAAAAAATATCAACGAGGATAAATCCAAACAAAACCAATTGCTCTTCACAAAAAAATATTTTTTAGAAAAATGTTTGTCTTTATTTTATTCATTTTGCAATTACAACATTCCAAACTGGTTTTGATTGTTCAATAGAAATTGACCATAAAGTAGAGATTGATTATTGTTAACGCTTTGCAAAAAGGCTGAACTGTCAAAAAAGTTATTCAAGCTCGGCTGTCTAAAATTAAGGCTATGTTTTAAGTTATCTGCAGTCATTGGCTGTACGAAAGGGATCCCTTCATTATAGTTAATGCTAGATAAAGTTTGATAGCCAGACCTTAGAACACCATTATTGATGATCTGCTTGATTTGCTGGGAAACTGAAATAAATTCAGTCAGTTCAGTTAAACTAAAACTGTCCATCTTTTCACGCAGCGTTGAATCAAGAAGATTTTTTGCTGTCTTTTTACCCTCATCCTCGATAAAAGATTTGCCATCGCTTAATGGCGATTCATGATAAGCTTCATTGTTTATTGCCATAACCTTTTGAAGAACAGCTATGCTGTTTGAGATTGTTGGACGTATTTGGGACACGTCACAATTGAATTTAAATACGTTCAGTTTGCATGCGAGAACTAATGTTAGTGATTCAATCTCACCAAATTCCATCGAACCAAAAAATTTCTCTGCATATCCGTCGAGGCATAATTTCCAGCCTTTGTTGCGATTATCATAGTAAATTCCCTTCCACAGGCCCTCAGAGTCAGATAGGGCATTGCTTATGATATCTTTGAGCATCAGCTGGGAGTCATTGTTATAAGAAACAATTCCCATACTCGGATTAATAATTGGAGTGGAAGGAACAATATTTGGAGAATTTACACAAGTCGTAAAATTCGTTCCATATTGTTGAGCTGGTGGTTGAGGAGTAGCTACCTTAGAGAAACAATGGATTGGAAGTCCCGTTGTTCCCTGTAAATTAACTGCGTTCCTAACATTCATCATGGTACTTGCGAATAAATTATTCGCAATAATTTGATTCACAAGAATGTTATTAAGGATATTGTTAGTTATGTAATGAGAGAGTAATTGACTGTTGACATCTAAGTCTCCCTGAGAGGGAAACGATAATAGATTATTTAAATTTCCATTTAAAGGAACGGAGTCAGTGTTAAGTGGTTTGAATGATCCATCGATATAATTGTTGCATATCCTACTATTCGAACTAATATTCTTAAAAATATTGGTTCCATTTACAGAAGCACTATCGGTAATCTGGCTTTCAAGGCTCTTTTGTCCAGAAATTTGTCGTTCAAACAACTCATTCTGGCCGTCCTTTGAAAGGATTGGAGATACCTGATTATCGGATTTTCCATCTAATCTACGAGAGTTCTCAGAATTCCTGGCTGATTTTGAATCATTCCCAAAGTTTCCAATAATGTTAACTTGATAGAACCTAAGAGCCATTTCATACGACTTTTCAACTCCATATCTTTTTGCGGAGAAATACCTTGAAATTTCGGTTTGTCTTTTGCGAATACGTACCTGCCAACCATGATTCCTCCGGTCATAGTATATTCCTTTGAGAGATAGGCTACGAAAGCCTTTGTTTGTAAGGCTAATTGCCTTGTCAAGATCCTGTGCGCTAATTCCTCCACTATTACTACTGCTACTCGCCCCTACTCCACCATGAGAACTGCTACCACTAAGTTTGTTCTTACTAGTCCTTACAGCCCTTTCTCTTTTGGTTTGGAGAGGTTTCTGTACGGAACTATCGGATATAGTCGTTTTAATGATACCAGTTAGATGTTCCTCATCAATAGTTTGAATTAACGATGAACTAGACTGAGAAGTAGGGAATGCGTCAGTCATAGAGGAAGAAGAAACGGTGGATGAGCCTGAACTGGATAATTCCGTAAAATCTGTCGGGTTCAGTTCTTCTGACAAACCACCATTATATCCAGAACTGATAAGCTCTTCCTCATTAGATTTATTCTGATCTAACCTAAAATCAGAGCCTATAGATTCAAGCAGTTCTGTTAAATTTGGATTGTTAGTTTGAACTTCGGGTGTGGTTTGATAAGGAATTCGGTTTGCGAAAGCTATCATCGAATGTTGTAAATACGGAAGATTTGGGTTCAAAGCTACCGGAAGTTTATTCAAGGTCTGCTGTAAATACGGATTGAGATCGTTACTGAGGGATATGTTTGGAGAGCTACCTGTATTAGCTATTCTATTTGATGCAGCGAATGATGATGCTGAACTTGATGAGCTGCTTGTTCCACAATTGATACTTGGTAAATAGCCGTTGTAAAAATGTTGCATTCTCTGGAATCCCATAAACTATCAGTTCCCTTGTATATCTAGGGCAAAATTCTATTGAGAATCTTTAATTCTCCCCTAAATCCTTGAAGTATTCTTTTTATATCTTCTTAATACCCTAAAATCCCTGATTCATTAGGAGCGTTGACTAACTCACAGTTTTGTAAAGATGAATAGCCCAATCACACTTCAATTTGTGCCATACTCTTTCTTCTTATTTCAATTCTTTGATTTTTATCTATTATTGCAATTTTAACTGTTATTTTATCCTCCTCCAAGATCTTAACAAATTAATGATAAAATGTTAGGCGGGCTGTCTGAGTCTACACAAATGTCGAGTTATAAGTGTGAGGCATTTTTTTTTGAGGGGGCTTTTCATGTCCAAATTGTAGCTGTTAGCCCGC